TTGTTGTTTTTGTCAGTTCAGAGCCGTGTTATCTTGAACACGTGTGGAGCCATAGGGCATGCTCTTCAGGATGTCATTGTGTGCCAAGTTAAGTTTTGAGACAAAAGATCTCTGAAAGGCCGGCTTCTGTTATGCTCTCGTCTTAAGCAGGCTGAAAATGGAGAGAAAACCCAACGCTAGTTATGAAATCCACTGTGGATTTCATAACTCCTGCTTTTAAAGTCGAAAGCAACAAAAATAAACTTGATGGCAAAGATTCATCTGTAACCACTGCCCATTTATTTCATCGAGACAGATGTATGTGTGCTCTGCTCATCCTCTTTTCTAGGTATATACATGTTATCAACATTATTTTTGACACCCACATCACATCAGACAGGCACTGTAACAAAGGCGTTGGCATCATTAGGCTCCATCAACCTTCTCTGACATCGTCACAGTCATTGTCCGCCGTCACCCGAACTTCATTCTTCAGAAATCCAACATCAGCCTCTCGCCTGACACGGCGCCATTAGCTTGGCCTGCGTGTCTGAACACCTGCTGTTGTCGGCTCTCTGGAGCTCCGGCCTAATTTATGTGTTTGGTTCCACAAGATGCCCTGAAATGGCTGGAAGTCTGGGTGTAATTATGTGTGTGTGTGTGTGTGTGTGTGTATCGGGGAGCAGGTGTGTGTTGTTGGGGATTGTCATATTGACACATGGTGCCTGCAGATGCAGCCTCATAAACCAGCCTTGGGTTTCCAGGCCCGGCCAACATTCATTGCAATATAACCTTGTCACAGCCCGTATGCTGGAGGCCAACTTTGGCCACCCTCAGCCTTCATTAGCATTCAGACAGACAACAGCTGTTACTGCCAAACTCTTGAGGCAATCTGATATATTGGGTCACTGCTGGAGTGACTTAGAGATTCCACCCTTCCTTGCAAATTGATGCACATGATGCAGCTTGGCAATAAACACATTTATTGCATCCACTGAAAAAAATGAAATGGCCTAAAAGTTTGGCCTGAAACCAGAAAATGCTAAATAAATAGCTTCCTTCCATCCATCTACTTTCTAAACCTACATTTTTCTTAACCAGTCATGTTTTGGGATTTTGAGATGAAGAGGGAGTACCTGGAGAGAACCCACGAATGCACAGGGAGAATATATATGGTTAGTTATAGTTATTAAGAATATATTTATTCATCTTAACAGTTAAACACATGCTTCACATGCTGTTATTTCCAAATTATGATGCTTGCTCATGCACCTCCATGTACTTTTTTTAAGACAAAGACGTGTTGGGCTCTTGATGGTAGGAGCCTAGCGCTCCAACCATCAGGCTTAGCAGGTCTTCTGGGGGAAACCCTGTGAGGCTCAGACTGCCTGATTATGTGTCATAAGAAACCCAGTTTGGTTAATACTGCAAAGTCAGTTTGCATCCCCTGTGACACCTACAAGAGTTCACCTCAGGTATTCCTCCGCACCCTTAATGCGCCATATGAATACTGCAAAGATGTAAATGACCATTAAAAAACTAAAAAAAAAGATTTCTCTGTTAGATTTCAGGTGTCGTCCTGCACCTTCTCCCATTTAGCAAAATATAATTATGCACATCTGAAAGAGACTCTGCCGAAGGCCAAGGTTGGCGCTTCAAAACCAATTATTTGTTTGATTGGGTATCATGTAGCAAAGTAGCTTATGTAAATATTTTAGCTTGTGTGTTGCTTTGATGTGCAGTGCTTATGGTTTTAGGAGAAATATAAAATCTTTTACTTTTCGGCAAATGAGTGAAAGTCACAGAACAACTTCTAAGTTAAAGTCAAGGGCAAAAATGCTTATTTTTCCTAGTAAACAAAAGGACCAACATCGACGGTGCATTGAAAATATTTTATTTCTTTTGTGTCAATACATAATTAGACATTTATATTTTTATAGAAATAATATATATATATATATGTGTGTGTGTGTGAACGATAGCAGAGTCATGCTAGCCCTCATGAACAGGTTTTATCCCATGAACATCAAAATGTCAACACAGACGTGATTGTACATAAAACACAGACTCTGTTATTCTGCTATAAATCCATGCTTCTTGGTTATTTGCTTGAACTGAAAGTACAAATTTATGCTGTAAGTAAAAGGCCTCAGTCTTTGCTAAACTATGTCGGGCCTTGATGGGATTATCCAGAGTTCTTGACATTTGCTTATTCTGTCGTCTACAGTGTCGGCATACCTGGGGGGAGGAGGGGTTCAGCCATCTTGTAGGCCTCAGTTGGTAAATAAAATAATGTAAACGTAAGTTTGATTTAAAGGATCTGGGGTTACTAAGTTTTTTGGGGGTGTTATTAGGGGACTGAAAGGCTCTCGCACACTGAGCGTACATCACTTTGAGAGCGCCCAAGTACCAGAAAGGTACAACTTTATAACCCCGTGCGTGTACTCGTAGCTGCACAGCAAATTGCAGGAAATGCTGTTCACATCACACCGTTTTGTATGCGACACCAATCTGACCAGGTTGAGGGTTGGTCAGATTGGTAGCCGCGAGGACAAGCATCGGCCAGACTACCACTTTGTGCCACACTAAGAGATGTGTGAAGGCTAGGAATTGAGGCTAGGCACCCACTAGGCCCGTCAAACTTGCTAGTGTCCATTTGGATTGTGGGAAATGTAGGCAATCTGCACGCTCACCTATGAAATCTCAACCGTCCGCAGACGGGGTGAGCGGAGTTCACAGTACGCCAGAGTATCCACTGTATTACAGGAACATGAGGTCAGTTAAATCACATTGTAGCTGTACTGAGGGTTTCATACGTCCATACAAACATCTGACGTCGGAAAGATGCAACAGAGTTAAGTCTCTTGAAGCAGTGCATTAATGGACGTAAAGCAGAGCAATGAATTACAATCAGTCCAATACAATTAGACGAGCAGAATGACTTACTTCATCATGCTAATTTCTTTTTCCTGGAATGGTTTCTGTCATTGATTCCCTCGTTGGACGGCACCTTAATATCACGCCAGACATGTTAGCACTCAGACTTCACACAGTGACTGGGTCCAACGATTTCCCTTGACGCTCTGCGTCTGCGACAACTTGAATTTGAGAAAACTTTCCTTTTGAGTTTTGCGTCTTTCTGTCTCTCTCTCTCGGTCTGTCTCTCTCCTTTGGTCTCCTCTAGTGTTGAGCTCCACATTTGCACGTTTCACTGCCTGCTCACCTTGAGCAGCTGTTCAGCCACCTCCTGTAGCTTGAGACAGACAGTGACTGAGCATTCTGGGCCAGGCCTGCCTTCTGCCACCTCCTCAAACGGGTCCCTTTGGACTGCAGCCAGCATAGGGGAATGGAGTTGGTGGATGAGCGTGTGTGTGTGTGTGTGTGTTGGCGTGCTTGGATTAGATCGGTACAGGAAATGTACCACTTCGGGCTCAATAGCATTACAGTCACCGGGCACGTTTGTGCTTTTATCACCCTCTACGTCAGATTGATCGTGGCACCCGGAAAGGTCACTCGATGTGGGTTTTCAGAACGTGTCTCCTGAGACAGATTAAGAAACAAAATAAAAAAGTCGTCGTCGGCACGCGGATGAAGTACTTCAGCCTCCTCCACGCACTTGACATCCAAGGACAGGATGGAGCCGTCCAGGCTGGCCGATCCGTTTCAGTCAGCTCAGATTAAAATGTAGATTTTTGCAGCTCATTATGTTTGACCAAAGTTTGACTAAACAAAGCCGTGGAGAGTCAGACTTGGTTGGGCTATTGGATCGTCCCAACTATCTCTCAACCAAAATCAACAGTAGTATTTATGTAAAACGTTTTCTTAGTGCTCACTTTTCAACCACAATGTCCTGTGGTTTAGACAGAATTAGCCTTAATGGCCCAATAAGTCAAATTCCTTCTTTTATTTGCCAAAACTGAATTCATCTGTACCGATCTGTAGCAACAAGTCCAACCGAAGATTTTTATTCTTTATCTACGATGTGTTACGATTATTTATCGAATTATTAACGAGCATAAACAAAAGAGTTGGCAATTTAGGGTATGCTCCAAGACAGAGGTGCCTTTTATGATAACCTGTGTCAAGTTACACATTAACCTACAAGCAAGTTTTTAAAAAATATTTTTAAATATGCATCTGAAGGTATAAAACGTGTTAGCTGTTCCTTACAGCTGGGTGTGGGTCAGGGAATCAGAGAACGAAACTAAAGCAACTAAACCATCCAGGCAGAAACACACAAGAGCCTAAAAAAGAATCCTACAATAATAAAGTTTTATGTTGTGTTATCAGTCCCTCATTGATATGACATTCATTAGCACATTTAAGCTTCTGATCAATACTCTAAAAGTGACTAAGAAGCGTTTGCGCCGGCCGGGTTCTTCAAAACGCGGCTCAAAACGAGGATTCAACCGAAGCTGCTCGTTTCAGTGGTTTGAGTTAGAAAGCAGATAGAACCTGGCAAAATTATTTACACTTTTGTCGTGCCACTACAACCACAAACTTCAATGTATTGTCTTGGGATTTTATGGGTAAAGTGCAAGGGAACTATTCAACTCTTTTTACTCTGGTGTCTCTGAATAAAATCATTCAGTTGGGAAAAAATAAAAAACAACAAAAAAAACTCCATCTCTCCTCCAGTTCTATACTTCACACTCGAGTGCATGTTGAAAGCAGGGCAGTGAACAAAAAAAAAAAAAAAAAACAAACAAAGAGGAAGCAGAGTGGGTGGATTAAAAATATCTCCAGATTTGCTGAGTGGAGTTTTTCCTCTGGCTTTCATCTGCTTCACCTGTACAGACGGGGCAACAACAGAGGCTTTAAATCTTCACAGCTTCTTACGGGGCAACCTCTGACTCTGGCCCCAGACCTGCGGGGGCTTTGGCTTGGATAAAGCTCGTTTGTCTGTTGTCGGCCACAGCGCCCCGCTCCCGTCGCCTCCTCAAGGAGCGCACCTTTGAACCATTATGAATCTGAACACCTGAGTCGTGCAGCGGTGAAAAAGCGGACATGTTTCGCGACACTGTGAGGGTTTTATGTGTAAGCTCGATATAAAAATAAATAAATAAATAAATAAAGGAAATGTTTACTTTTACAAGTTTTCATATTCAGGAAGGTTGAATATGAAACCTTCCTGAACCTTCCTTCGTTTTGTTTATGTTCGAAACAAAACAAAGCCGTTTTGTTTCGAACATAATTGAAAAACGTTAACGAGAAACTGGTTGTGCCTCAGTGGGAGGATAATTTGTCATTGCAGGAAGTCGGCGACACACTGGCTCGGTTTCACTCAAACGTCCGTCGTGGTGTTTTTCATTTAAGAAGATTTGTTGCACTCGTGGCTTGTGTCTGACGGTAATCTGGCAGGAAGGCGGCAGATTAACGTCGTCAAAGAAACTGAAGATAGGAGTCGAATCTGAGACCAGGTCTATAAACTCTCGGCTTGCGAGTCGCCGGTTTCTAACCAGAGTGGGGATTTTTTTAAGCAACTTTGCGGCTGAACACACCAGTCTGACTCTCCTCGCTCATCCTGTCACTCATGTTTCTGACTCTGCATGTTTGACCGCAGTACAAGACTGCGTGACGCGCTTATTTTGAACAAAGTAACCCTCTGCCGGAGAGAGGCTTTTGGGTCAAAATAGGTGATAGATGGGCACATTATACTTTCTGGTTAATCCCATTGATAGGGCCAGCAGGATCTACAAATGTTTTTGCGAAGAAAAGTCGCTCAAAGTAATCCCAAACTGGGGCGTGCTCATGAGTAGCAAAAAACGGTCAATTCGGTTCAACCTCTTCATTGATTTCCACACCCTCCATTGTTCCTCACTTGCTACCAGGTGAGGTGGACGTTCCAGCCAGTCCAGGACGCAGAGGTGACAAACGAGCGGAGCAGCGAGGGGTAGGCAGCGGCGGCTAACCTCAGAGAGCGGATGTGATGAGAGTCAGGGGAGAAACAAAAAGGGACGGTTAGCGATGTATATGAGAGAGGGAGGGAGAGCGGAGCGATGGATTAAGAATGAGGGCGAAGTCATAAGTGAAAGAATGAAGGAGGGTGAGGACAGGAGGTGGTTGCTGGGAGGGGGCTGACGACGGGGGCAGGGTGAGACGGTGGCGCCACAAAATGGCTGCTTTTCTCCTGGTGCAAGACGGCATTAAAATCCAGCCCGAAGGTGTGTGAGCGCATAAATCTGGACTGATGATTAGAGGACATCTCAACCAGCAGAGCACTGAGCCATGAACTCATTATCTCTAATAGAGAGAACCGCCGCTGTCTTTAGTCTGGAGGGGCTTTTCTGACTGTCTTTCAGAGTGAAGTCACACGGTGGTTGGGGTTTCGCGGACAGAGCAGCTTCACCGAACAGGAAGCGAAGGAGATAATGAAGCCTTGTCTTTAGCCGAGGAATTCTGAGGAAGTCCTTCGCTCGTTTCTATGAACAAGTCGATGGCGTTCCAACCAATTAAGTGTGAAGGTCAAGCTTTGTCAAGAACTTGCAAGGGTTTCAAATATTTAGAAAGTCTTTTTTTTTTTTGATAATATTCTTATTTTCGCATCTGAGAGTTGAACTGTTTTTTACATTTTGTCCTCTTTTGCCGCCAAATTTATTAGCAACCATGTTAAGGATGCGACTGTTTTTTTAAATTGCTTTAATTAATGCAGTTCTCTGTCAGTTGGATGTGGATTATTTTTTGCTTCCCTGGAGAAAGAACGACTAATCGTGTCATTTCTGAAAACAGCCGTTTTCACTGGACTTTATTTCAGGGGATTAGCTTAAATGAGGCTAAGAAGAAATGCAATCTCTTTGCTTTTCTGCTTATTTTTCTAATTCTGGAAAAATATGAAAATCTTCTTCCATTTTGTCTCATCATCCCCCCAAAAAATCTGAAGTTTGTGGTTGTAATGTCATCAAATTTGCATAAAAAAAAAGAAGAATGCTATTTTAATCAGAACCCTTTTCGGTATATAAATACTGCAGTAAAGCAATTTGTTTAACTTCCTTGTGGTCTATGCAAATGTAAAAGAAAAGCCGAAAAATGTGGCTTTTCACCTTTCACTATAAATCAACTTCAGTTTGTCAGCTGATTAGCGTTGCTGTTTGCTTTTGACGCTGCAACAACGGCATGCTAAATCCTGTCAGAGCAGATCAAACGTAATAAAAGGATTAAAGCTTTTTGTTTGTTTAACAGGAATGTGAATAAGGTGCTGCGTTTCACTTTTCCGAAACAAGAAGAACGCCAAAGTCCACCAACTTACGCCGGTCTGATAAAGGCATCCGGGCAACAAATGCTGATCTGACATGGATTTACTTTCGCGCGTCGCTCCGGGGAACTATTATCAGAGGTGCGACGATACACATTCCATGCACTACAGCAGAGAGTCTGGAGAATAAATAAGAGTGGCCACACTTCATAACAGTCTGCTAACAATGGAGTTCTGGGACATGGAGGAACAGGCAAAAGTACATATTTGATTAGAAATGTCCACTGGTTTCATTTCTAGTTTATTTATTTGTTGTTGTTTTGTTTTGTTTTTTATACCACAAAAGTGGCGCTGTGACTTGCCTCTCATGTGTTTTAAGCCTGAGAAATAACCGTTTCCAGGGCCAACCACTTATTTCCACACCCCTGGAACAGATGAGTAAAATACCATAAAAATCTCCCTTTCATCTCTGTTATGCCGAAACATGCCGAAAAATCCTACCTTTAATTTCTCTGCATTAGTGGAATTCGTTTGGAGAAAAAAAAAAACGTTCATTTTGAGCACAAAATTTGTGCTGGCACATTCATTGCTTCCCCGAACAATTATCTATACAATAAATGTAACCATTGCATAACTGGAATTAGTATTTAATGTTTTTAAGTCAATCAAAGTTTAAAGGAAAAGCAACCATGCCATAAGTATGGTGAAGGATCTGTAATGCTGTGGGACTACTCACCCTGCCCTCCCAACGCCCTGGGAGCTTTGGGGGGAAGACATATTTAAAGTGGAAGACATACTTTTTTTAAGTAAAAGCATTTCACTTTGCCCAGTTTTATATAGAAAGGCTTCACCAGAATTCTAGATATTTCTGTGTGAGATTATGCTACTGCAAAAAACAAAGGCATTTATGAGGCCACAGTGACAGTTTTAACAAATATGTCATTTGTTTTTAAATATGAAGAAACGTACCCCGGTCTTAAAGATGAAGTTCCTGAATGTCAGACTTTTGTCCTGTTTCCTGTGGTGTTCTCCTGCTCAGGGTGTACCAGAAGCTCGGAGAGCCTCGCGTTCATTGACAGATCTGGATCCAGCGCGGGTCTGAGTGTGTCCTCTTACGGCCTTCGCTTCCTGGCATCCCCGTTGGTCTTCAGCCAAACCGCACGGGGGAAACGCGGCCAAATTCTGCATCGCATTAGAGGATAATGCCCTATCCACATTCCCTGCTTGTCCTGCTGCGGACCACAAGCAGCATCTGGTGCTGAATATGCAGTGACGAATGACGACACCCGAACCCGCTGCGGCGACTTTCTAAAAGTCGGCACGCCGCGTGGGGCTCGGTAGTTTTACAGCCCGGAGTGACGATAAGTCAGAAACGGGTGATGCCCTCCTTGTCAGTCCTTGAACTCTTCGTGAATCATAGCTCTACTCAGTCATCACCTCGCCGGCAAAATATAGGTGGGGGGGGGGGTAATAAGCCTGTCAGACGTGATCTGCTGGGCTGATGGGAGAGTTTAAAGTCCCATTTAGTGAGGCGATGGAACGGATGCATCATTTGAACTGACGGTAACGCGAGAGAGAACAGCTGGACACGACACTCGTCATGCAACACTCGCGATCCAAGGAGAAAACTCAGACTGCAATCAGCGTTTGGGACTGTAGAGGGGTTCAAGAAGCAATCACAGTAAGAGGAGCACCAAACGGCAATGTGCTTATCAGAGCCACACCAACACAGAGAGACAAGGAGAGAGATGAGCAGGAACCAAGAGAGAAAGGAACCAAAGCGGATGGACAGACAGAAAACATGAACGCTAGTCATAGTTGTGCGCTGACTGATACCTGGACCAGCCGATCTCCACTTCCCGCCACCTTGGAGCTGGCGTCCACACGTTGAGTTTGACATTCACATTCGACAATCAACACTCCCAGGGCAGAAGGGTCAGGGGGGATTCCATGCCACCGACGAAGAGTAACAAAACTGTGTGAATCGGGCAGCTCCGGTCAAGAGTCCGCCGTGGATCAGCAGGAGGGAGGCGACAGTCCGCCGTTTCCGGTTCGGCTGCTTGTAGCCTTTGATTTTGCACGTTTGCAGAGCTCGCTCCGTTGTGTCGAGAAGATTCCTTTGTTGGTTTGATCTATTCGGCAATGTTTTTTTGTCCTTTTTTTTTGTTCTTTTTCTGAGAATGGCTTTCTGTTGGTCTCAGGTCTGAAAGAAACACAGTTATAAACTTTAGCACAGTTCAGTTATTCTAAAGAAATAAAAAAAATTCAAAAAACGTAGAAAAACTGTAGCTCCCTGTTAGTTTGATCGGTTACAACAGATAATGTTAATATATAAAAGCAAAGCCAAGTGTTTGTTACAATATGACACAAGAGTTTGTGAAAATCCTCACCCGTCCTGAGGTCTTAGGTTGGTTATTGCAAAAGGCGACAGAAGGTTGGTCCTAGACGTTGCTGCGCAGTAACCCCCCCTGTGGGTGCTCCGGTGTACTGCACTCTGATGAGTTCTTGGCTTTGTCCTTGTTGTTGTTGGGCTCGTTGTCTTTGATGATGTCATACTGACGACAGAACAAGGCGATCACCCCTGAGGGATGATCGGGATGAACAGGAGAACGATTGTTAAGTAACTGCCGCCTAGAAATAAAATCTCTCTCTCTCTTTATGGTGATTGTGTAGAGAAACACAGAAAACCAACAAAGTTTGCGTTGAACTGTTCTTTTGGTGGGGTGGGATGAACACACAACAGATCACGTCCAAAACCAAGAACTGTGTGCTGGAGATTTGAATTTGTGGATGTTCTCCAACCCGAACAAGGTTTAAATGATATGTACTTGCAGAGATATATTAGGTTAAATGTCTCTTAGCAAGATTCTCAAAGACCTCATGCTTTTGTCGTTATGAACAAGGTCCAAAAGTAATTCTGTCTAGACATTAACCACTGTTCGAATGAAAAATGGTCAATCTAATTTAAATTGGTTCTTTTTCTGGACTGGACCCAAAAGGCTAACGTTAGCCAGTCTTATGCAAGCCCAAACCACTCTATGCGTTTGGAATCATTGTCCTGTTAATTCTCTGACACAGACAGAGCGACGTGGCAGATGCGTGCTCCCGACACGTCAATAGAGCCGATCCGAACGAACCGAGACAGAGACGTGAGCAGATGGAGCCGAGGGGGGCGGGATGTGAATCTGGACGGCGAGACACGACGCGGGAGCTGTCGATGCGGGGAGCAGATAGAGAACAAGCTCACAGGAAGGAGAAAGAGAATAATTCATGATGGTGGAGGAGTGTGTGATGGGATGAATCCAAACTTGACTTGGTATTTCTGCTTATGTCAGCCTCGGCAGATCTAATCATCGCGGTACCAAGGGGCAAGATGGGGGATATCTCCCTGTGATATCCCCCAGCATGCCCCACAGGCCCAATTAAGAGCTGAAAAACACAATTCGCCTCCTTGGCTGTAAGTTTGTTTGGTTTGGTTTTTTTCTACTATCGTGTGCTGCTCAGGTTTTTCTCCACTATGTTTTCTTTTACTCTTTGAATTTTCCTCAGTCCCTGCTACCAGTAATTGGGCGCATAACAACCCCTCCATGGAACGTATAGAGACCATATATATCTTGTTACGCATAGTGGAGTAAGATCAGAGACTTATCGTATGGCAAAAACAAAAACAAAAAACTAAAACTTTTGTAAACGGACATCTTGCCACTCAAATGTGAATATTTCCACAATAGGACGAAGAGTAGTTTTCTGTGGAGTGAGTTATCACTCTATTATTTGTGGAAACAGAGGCACAAAGCCTTTAGGGGTATTTTAATTTGCACAAATACAAAATACTACCTAGTATTTTTGGTCACGTTTATAGTGCAAATGTCTGAGTTTACCTGAAATGAAAAAACTAACTTAAAGGTAACTTTTAAGCAAAATATAGGAGCTTATTTGAAGTCAATAATTACTTCATTGATTTTTTTTTAAAGGACTAAATCCACAAGCAGGTTATTTTACTTTCTGACTAGCATGTTTCTGTCAGTATTAAGTAACTGTTGACTCAAAACAAGCTCCTCCACCTTTCTGAAAAGTTACTTGTAAGTTTTTTTTTTTGGTCTTATTTCAAGTGTGCTGAGATTTACAAACCTAAAGTGACATTTTTGTGTTTTCACAGCTCAACATAAATATTCAGTCATATCAGTTTATACTCATCTAACGTTTGGCTGGCTTTTTAACCATAATGGTGTTGCAGCAATCAACATTAGTTCAAGGCCAAATGCGGAGAAAGTGGAAGAAAATCCTTCAAAGTAATATTGAAGGGTCTTCAGAACACTTTTACAATCCTTAACAGAAAGCGACGGCTGGCTGTGTGTGTATGCACTAGTGTGTGTGTGTGTGTGGGGGGGTGTGTGTGTGTGTGTGTGTGTGTGTGTGTGTGTGTGTGTGTGTGTGTGGGTGTGGGTGTGGATGTGGGTGTGGGGGGGTGAGTGAGTGTGACGATTGAATTAAGAAAATGTAACTTCCAGATATTTTGATCCCAAAACTTTCAATCGAAAACTTTTGAACAATTAAAAGTGCTTTTTTTCTTCAGTAAATTAAAAACAAAAAAGAGGGCCTTGCTTGTTTTTATGACAGCAGTTCAACAAGAAACATATAATAAAATAAAAATAAAAATAAAAAAAACAGAAAAGAGGTGCATTCTGTGCCGGATCTCTCGAGTTGCAGGGTCGGGCGGCTGCTGAAGCTGCAGTTTGCTTATTGAGATTTCAGAGAGAAGAAATGCAAAATGAAGAAACAGAGAGAGGAAATAGAGGAACAAAAGCTGCAAGATGTATTATCTAATCTCATTAGGAGGTGGTGGATATTAGTTTTTCATGTTGTGCAACTCTAATAAGGATTAATACGTGAAAACGTGGGAGCAGCAGATGGCAGGAGGGGCTGTTCTTTCCTACCAAAGCTGAATTTATTTCTATCCTCTAAAACTTTACTTTGTCTAACTGTCCTGTCATAAGGATCCATACGTTTGATACGAAGTCCACTTTTATGAACTTTTTCTGTTTGTTGTGAAGAGTAAAGGATCTTCTCTAAGGATTGACTGTAATTATCAGGCTAAATTAAATAATTATTAAGTCTTTAATCTGTTTCTCTGCTATTTTGTTTTTAAATAACACTTGGCCACCTTTCTGAAAAGTGGCAAAAAATCATTTACAAATCCAGACATAATATTTAGCAAATCAGAATAAGACCTGGAATAATGAAAGAGCTGCTGGGTCAGATGCAAAAAGACATACAAACATAAAGAAAATTTGAAGTTTTAGAACTCGGAAATTTCCTTTGTGTTTTCTGGAAGATTTCTGAGCTCAGTCTTCAAATTTGTGAATTTTTTTTTTGTTTTTTAATAAATTTTAGACTTTCTTTGGGTGTGCTGTGATGGTGCAGGGGTTCAGCACAACTCACATATAAAGGCAAGAGATCCAATTGACTGAACTTTTTGGATTATAAAAACCAATCCAAAAAGTTCTGACAACTTTTAGGAAACTTGCCCGAAAAGCCTTGCGGCGAGTTATCCCTCACAGAAATATGGCACCCGAAGCCGAATGCTTGTTCCCAAGTAGGAACTCCATCAGAGAGCTTAATTACTCTGCAGGTACTGCCGTCCTGGAAGGTGCCTGATGATAAATGACCAATAACGCAGAAGAACATTACCTGCCCACATGACGAGCACCACAACAATGATGATGAGCTCTCCGGCCCTCAGCTGGGCAGCCTGACCAACCTCCTCCATCGTCACCTCATCTGCAGAGAGAACACATACACACACGCAAACACACACATAGAGTCAACAAAGGGAAGGTGGAAGATACTATGTTTCAACAGCAGTTGGAGCATAAATAAAAAAATGTCCCAACAGTCGTAAACTCCGCAGGGAAAGATAAAAAGAATCAAAGACAGGCGACGTGAGGAACGAGAGGCAGGCTGGTGTGAATTCTTCACCCTGCTCTGTGTAATTAAAGCTAAGTGAGAGCAGCCGACTGCGGGGACAAAAGGAGCCCAGACCCTCACCCAATCAGTCACTGGGCTTTCCCTCGCTGACAGCGCTCTGGCCGCTGCGGCGTGAAACCAATCGCAGCCATAAAGGCTGGAACACACTCTGAATTACAGCCTCTCTCACCCTCTGCTGCCATCAGAGAACATCCTGCCTCTGCATGCTGGCTGGGCAAAGCAAACACGACACATTTTACAGCCTTTCGCTTCCTTCTTCGCTGTTCGTCTTTGTTTTTAAGCGCCATCCAGTGTGTTAGAGGCACAGTTTCTGTATGACAGTGGAAATTAGATGTCTGCTTCTGGTGCACATTTGAATCAGAGGAACAGTGTCCTGTATCTGGTGCGGGAAGAAAATTGGACAGGCTGGAAAAAACTATAGGAGCAGAAATTGGAAGAAGGGGAAAGAAGTAGGTGGGATGGAGAAACAAGAGCCTGTGTGAAGGAACAGGTGACCTTTAAGACGTCCACAGTCTTAAAGGTCAACTGTAGAGTCAACATTCCTCCATGTAGGAGACAACGCATATATTTATGAATTAAATATTAGGGTTGTCAAAACGCTCAGAGCTCACAAGAACAAAACACTGAAAATAGAGAATTAATATCCAATCAAAAAAATGTTTCAACTCGCCACAAGTAATTTTTATTTACCTTTGTTTAAGTTGATAACTTCAGAAAGCTGCCTTGTCTAACTAATATTATCCTAAGTCCAAATTATTCACAAATTTTTTTTGTGTGTGTAGCATAATGTACTTGAAAGAAAACACAGCCAAGAGCGCACAATGCTACTTGCAGCTATTGAATGTCACAAAGCAACAGCTGGTGTAGGTGGTGATTGATCCGCAAGAGTGGAGTTCAAGAAGACTGGATGTTAGCTTCTGCATATTTATCGTCTGAACTAGTAAAAGAAGCAGCGGCAAGCGATTTTTAGAGGCCGACTGAAGTATTTGTGGATTTTAGCCGTTTGGTTTCTTGCGGTGTCCAGCCTCCACAAACAGCGGAAGGTCAACAGAGTCGTGAATATAGCGATAACTTGTCCCATGAGATGCCACTGAAACTGGATCAGGCAGCACAAATTCTGACTATTTGGGGTAAAATCTTCAAAAGTATTTCAAAATGCCAGAGAGTTGACAACCTGACGTCGCTGATAATGAACTGCACTGAACCGACGTGGTTTCTTCGTACCATACGGCCGTAGAGGTGAAAGCCAGCGAACCCCGCCCTCTGAAAGCTACATGTTTGTTTTCGAGTGGCGGTCGCCTTCAGGGGAGAGTCGCCGTTCCACGAGGGCCTTCGTGACACATCGTCTTTGTCTGGGCAAGTTTAGGATTTTGCTCTTCATACATCTCTGCTCTGCCTAGCTGTCGAAATCACTGTTACCATAGCGATCCCTCTAAGCTTCACCTGCAGCCCGAGGCCTGACAGAAGGAGTGAAAGGTTTATGCACTTTAATAAGCTCAATGTGGACAGTAGTCTGTGAGGGCTTGGCATAATGACATTAAATATGTCTTAATTTGTCAGATTGGTTGGCTTTCAGTAACAGTCAAGCAGGTCAAAACACTGGGAAACAAATCATCTCATGTCCAGAATTGTTTGGCCATATTTAAATATCACTTGCGAACAAAAGGAGAAGCAGAACCTGCAAGAAAAAGACTGATTAAAGTTTCAACACAGGTCCAACAGTATGGAGGCTCGTAAAATGTGATTGCTGGGAAAGACTACCAAGAAACCTCCAGCGATTTAGCTCGATACTCCGGGAACACCTGCAGTATTTTCTCCATCCTAGCGATAGACGGTTTGGGAAGATAAGCAAACCCGTCTGACAGAAACGCAGTGCCGAGCGGCGTGCCGGCCCGCACCGCGGCTACAAATGCAAAGTGGTGTCAGGCTGATTAATACCCGCTTAGAGGGGGAGGAGAGCAGTAATGGCCGGGAGATTTAATCAGGACAGCTAATGAATGCTTCCACCAACACCAACCAGATTCATCCATCAAAGTCAGAGCTCGGCAACAATTGGGACAAATCACGCCTCTAAATATGTGTCATGTGACCAGATGTTTGGTGGCTCACAAAAGCATTCACACCCCTTGAAATGTTGCCGTATGACCAAGACAAACTTCAAGGTGTCTTACGATTTCATTTGATTGATTCAGGGCATTTGCAGGCTTCAGGGAGTCAAATGACACGCGGAGTAAAATTTAAGGTCAAAAACCGATGAGAGAAACCATAGAGCCAAACTTAAAAAGTTTTGTTTTTTCTCCCAGAATGAGTCTGGCCTCACGTAGGTTGGCAACAGAAGTGAGCCGGTGGTAAAAATGAGCTTTGTCCAGCCAACTAGCGATAAATTTGTAAGTTGTTCATGATAGGTACAGAAAAGCTGGCTAGCTAGAAAGCCAGCGTATGTTAGCAGCTGTATGTTAGCTTCAACCACCGTTAGTGACAATGAAGAGGTCTGCACAAACGTTTGCCAGACAAAACGGAAAGAAACAATCCACTGCTCAGGATTGAGCAACTGTTATTTGTGAACTTTATAAATCAAACATTTATAAACATTGTTGTTGATAACTTCTTCTTCTGTTCGCTGATTTATTTGGCCGCAATCCTACTGGAGAAATCTAGCTCAATGGGAGAAACCCCAGATTGTCACTGAAGGGAGATGAAAGTCAAGCAGAATGGCCAGGCTAAAAACCACCTCCAGTGAGCACAAAATGTTTTTACAAAATCCAGAAAGCTTTTTTGAATTTTGCCTTTTACTTTCTTAATGCGGTGCTACAAAATGTGCATAAAAAACATTGATGGAATCACAGCTACAGTGGCCACATCACGATTTGGTCTACCTTCCAACGAGACAACGACTCCCCACACACCTACAATGGGATAACTTAAACCTGAATCCAACCGAGAATCTGTGGTGTGACTCGGAAATGTATCTTCACAGAAGCTCTAAATCCAATCTGACCAAGCTTTACAAGAAGGAATGAACAGAAATTTCAATCTCTATGGGGGCTTGGTGTGTCATAACCTCAATACGACAGAGAAGGAAAGCTGCATTACAACAGATGGATTTTGTTTTCTTTTGCTATATAAATACAGCATGAGCTCTAACCATGTGTCTTGAACAGGACCAAGGCGAGCTCAGTCAGTGCGGGGGCTTCCAGGGAACAGACCGCTGCGTCCTCTTATCGCCTCGCCGCTGATGAGCGCGTTAGTATTTTTGCAGGGTCCCCTCTGAAGCGGCCGCTTTTGGTAGCAGAACTAGGTCGGACGTGATAAAACTGGGAGCGCCGCGTGCCGCTCCAGATAAGAGCCAGCAGGATCTCTGCGTACTCGAGAGAGAGAAGCTGGAAGGCGCGAGGAGTTCACGCCCGAGATTTGTGTTTTTGTTATCGTTTTGTTCGTCCGGGAGACGCAGAAAACAGAAAATAGCGTGACATATATAGTCTGGGGGTGGGGGGGCAAGAGTAATAAAATAAATTTTTCAGTGTGTGTGTCAACAGAGGCAGAAAGAAGGAAGCCCATTGTTTGTTTTCTCTATATGCGCTGATACATGATTGCCTCTGTTTCTATATGCTCTCATGATTGCATGTTTTTGTATGCGTCAAATTTCGATTTCCCTCGTTTGTAGCATATCCTGTTCCATTATAAGCTACACGGCGACGTCCACAGTGGGAAAAATACACAACAACTGTATTTACATATAGATTAGCATTCGGAGGCCCTGGTGACACGGCTCGCGGTTTGCTAGCAGAGACAGGTGCGGCGCCTCTTTGCCAGAGAAGTTTTATCACCACACTTTGTCTCGTTCCGACCACAAAATTCGGTGCGTTTCTTTGGGATTTTATGTGATGATTCAACACAAAGTAAAAAGCATAAAAACAAAGCGGAAGGGAAAGGGCATAAACATCTGAAAAGTGTGGCAGGTGTGTGTTTTTTTAGAGTGTCTCTACCGTTTTTTTTGTCACCCCCGTAAATCAGCTCGGCCTCAGTCAGATTCAATAGGGAGTGTCTACGACGGTCAGTTGTCAAGTCTTGCCACAGATTCTCAATTGGACTCGCTACTTGACTTTGACTTGTACCACACATTATCAACACAGGCCTAGTGCGCCCTCTTGCGGTTTTGTGTGAAAATAACGTGATATGATATAACAATGTGTTAATAATTTCAAACATAAGTCGCTCCGGAGTACAACTCGCACCACCGGCCAAACTAAGAAAAAAACTACGACTTAAAGTCCGGAAAATACGGTAGGCTATCTGTTACAAATGAACTCAATTTGTTTTTTAAGTTGGATAACCTGCATTTTGTTTTTTTCAGTGAATATAGAGCTTTTTTTTTTTTTAATTTATGGGTATTGGAGTAAAAACGAATCGCATTTTTCATACATTTTGCAAGAGAAACCCAACTCAGGATGTTTAAATCTGAGCAAACCCTGTCGAGAATCTGAATCTCACCGGGACTCTTGGACGCCATTTTCTCCGACTCTTTTGGCGTTCTGAAGAGAACGGGCTGACTGGGGGGGCTGCTGCCTCCCATGCTGATGGTCTGGACGTGGACGATGTACTCGGTGTCCTCGTCCAGGTCCCACAGCGCGCAGGAGCGGGTGGTGGTGTTCACTTCCTGGATGAACCTGAACATCCGCACATCCTTCTTCTGCGGGGAAAACAAAAAGCAAACAAAAAAAAAATAATAATAATAATCAAGCTTACAATCCATTTTTGTTTACCTTGTTCAAACTAAATTTGAATTGTAACCACTGTAAATTTCTGTAAGGAACTTCAGTTTTCTATGCTGTGGCTTAATGTATGCTAATGTTTACGCTCCTGTCCAGGGGAACAGTTGGGGAAAAAGTTTAAGTAAAGTCTCTCAGGGTTTATTTTAACAACGCAGTAAAGCTTAAAGACAGAAATTGCTTTCTAGGCCATGTACACTCTCCTGGAAATGGCCATTATTACCCCGCTACAGCTGCTTGCTCAGGTCAATTGGCTCCTGCTGGATTAAAGACCAAGGCTCCTCGGGGACACTTTTATTTACCGGGCAATTATAAAAGGAAATTTCTTAAGCCATTAAAACTTCACGAGGACAAAATGTTCGTCTAACATGGATTTCCAAAGCGCTGCGACGTGGCAGCAGAAACTAGGCTTCTGAAAGCTGCAATTTTCTGCTCCAGTTTGAATAATTAATGAAAAAAATATATAAAAAATGTGAGCACGAATATGAATTACTTTGGTGCTCAGGCAAAAACAAAAACAAGACGATTCGCTTGAAGAGTTAAGGAGATACTTTGAGATTTGTATGATAACTTAAGTTCAATCTGAAAATACATCTTCTATGGTTTTATAGCCAGAAATGCAAATGCTAACACGACTGGCCAACATAATTATTAACCTTATTGCTTAAACAGTGATTATTATCAGCTTCAATACTATGACAATTTCCACATAGCTACATAATGTTGCAGACATACAACATATATTTGAAGCATCAGACACTCATGACACTTGAATCAGGGTCATCTACAGATGACAGATCTACATCATCAATGCAAAATTAAGTCAGCTAAATTTAGGTGAAGCGCCAAAAATTTAATTTTGTCAAAGTGCTGTATTTTCTAAACAGATGTACTTTGTAGAACATGATCTAAAAAACAGATAGAATAAAATACCAGTTAAATACAATGCCAGCTGGTTTTAATGGAAATGCTTATTTGAACAGAAGCTTGGCGCCGTTAAGCTCCCTTACAACCCTGCTGTGGTTTTAATGTTTGTTTTGAACATTATTTTCAGGCCCTCTTTGCTAAAGGCATTGCAAAAAAAGGAAGAAAAAAAAACAAAAAACAAACTCACACATACCTGTTGCGTGATGGCGAATCCGATGACGGGATCTCCCTCCAAGATCTCCCACGTCACCACAGCCGAGTTGACCTCCAGCTCTCTGATGGTCACATTGAGCGGAGCTGACAGCGCAGCGTCTAACACAGACACAGAAGGATTTTTAATTAGCAAGGACAGAACATAAATTCTATATTCCCGCACTTTGCAATTGATATAATAAATCCTACCGCGGAGAGCAGAACAGCCTCCTCATGATCACTCTCTTTGAACTCTTCTTCTTTTCTTTTTTTTTGCTCTCTCAGCCCACTTTCACTCAGATCTTCCTCTCTCCACCCACAAATTAGTCGATCTCCTTTCGTTTACACCCAGCCTAATTAACACACTTCAGTCTGTCGGGGTTCCCCACAGGAAGACGATGCTCCCCACCCGTCTTTGTTTCCGATTCTCACACGTTTTTCGGCCTCTGTCTCCTCTGCTCTTTCGTACATTCTGCGAATGTAATACGGCGCTCATCTTTCATGACCGATCTTGTTGAAGTTTGAATCATTTCCATTTCTGAACTGCGGAAAGGAATAGAGCTGAATGTGTGTGTGTGACTTTGCAGACGGGAAGTGTGTGTGTGTCAGTAACAACACACAAAATGCTGGATTTCCCTCGAGTCCAGCTCGACAAATTAACGTCAGAGTTAGACCTTAGTTTGGTCACAATAGTGACTCCTTGGTCTTTCTCAACACTAAAGCTGTTCTTTCCTAAAACGTAACAAAAGACTACAAAATGAAAATGTTGCAGGTAGTCCTTTTAATGCTTCTTGGTTATATCATACAGCATGCTTGAACACTTTTGAAATTTTCGACCCATTACGTGATACACCCTAATTGGCAATTATCGGTATAGTCCACCGTTTCCATGGCAGTCTCGCCAGCATCCCATATTTGCTTCTGACTAATGAGCAAAAATTGGCAGCTTGCATTTACTGTAAGATGAGCAAGTAGCAAGACATGCAGACATGCAGTGTCAAGAAAATGTCTGGAATGTCACCCCACTGACTCCTTCCAATATTTAGCTGATTTATGCCAGCTAACAAGTCAACCACTTCAGCAGAGATGGTGCTAATTAGCTTCAGCAGTATTATGGTAACGCTGGTGTTACAGAATTAGCAGTATTATTCTGATGCGACTGCCACATCTCATTTGTGTTTAGCAGTATCAGCAATATCACCAATATTGTTGTATTGAAACAGAAATGTTGGTAGGAACTCCAAACTTAAATTTGTAGATTTCCTATAAATAAATGGACAAATACAAAGAAGGAACTGAGCTGATTGGCAGTGGGAAAACAATCCATAGAGGTGCACCGACTGCAATTTCTGGCCGATCACCAAGCTTAACCTGCCAATTCCGACTATTGTTAATTGTCAATGTGCAGACGTGACCCAGTCAAACCTCTGTCAACAGAGAGCAAAAGAGGACAGTGGTTGATTCTTAGACGTTTGAGCTAGGTAAGATCGGCTTCATATGTAAAAATCGGCACGATCACAATCTCCCAAAATGAAGGAAATTGGCACCGATAAATCGGTGCGCCCTTAATAACTCAGAAAAGTTGTGGAGCCTGAGCCCCCGAACATCTGGACAAATATTCTCTGAACAAGTCCCTTACAGAACTACAAATGCAGAAAGAGATGCATTTTCTCCCCTCTCTATTTTTATTGAGGTAAACCATCATAAAGTGGGAAGGCAGACAATACAAAGTTAGCAAGAATGTTTTCCAAATGGAAACCTAATAACATGTGGGGTTTGTACATGTGGACATTTACCCATTCGATCAACTTAAGTTGTCTGTGAGTATCAATTATAAAGTCAAGCCACAGATCGTCAATTAAATGTGGGTCTGGACTTTGACTGTAGCCATGTCCTATTCGGTTTGCAGTTGATGGACCAAATATTGATGTGTGAAATGTCACATGCAAACTTAATGAAATGGATTGATGAGGTTGTAATGCGACAGACTGAGAAAATGAAGAGACTTTTGCGAGACTTTCCAGCCTGCAGTCACATGGATGTGACTGCAGATCACATCCATGTGTCATGACAGTCTCCCATAAAAGGGATCCCGCTACAAACAAACTGGATCAGCCAGACCTCAGAACGTAGCAGAACGTTCCCGACTACTCCACAGGTCACGAAATGATTTTAAACAACGTTCCAGAAATACAAATCTGCCTCCTAAAATCTCATACACGCACACACACACACACACACACACACACACACACACACACACACACACACACACACACACACACACACACACACACACACACACACACACACATCTTCAGACCAAACGAAAGTGATCTCTCCAGGCTGAGATAAAGCCTCGACGATCTTATCTCCAAGAGACAGGATTTCTAAAGGACTATCCGTCATCTGTGAGCTTCCATGGTCAGGAAACACAATGGAAGTGAGACCTTTGGACTCAAACAAATTTCCTCTGTTGAGTGTAACTCGCAGAACAACCCAGGACGCGTCATCTATCATCGTTTAAAAGGGGCTGGAAATAACCTCACAGGGAAAGTGACGGACGCTGAAAAAATGTCCAGACGAATCAGAATCGTCTGGATGAGGTTGAAACTGAATAACTTGGATTGCGCTGTGTGTGTAGGGGTGTGTGTGTGTGTGTATGCGTGTGCGAGTGTGTGTATGTGTGTGTGGCTTGAACTCTAGCTGGGAGCTACGATCTCATCTCGGATTCCATTTCAAGACATTCACCTGGATTATGAGGACATTTCTGCCTCTAGTTGTGTCAGAGTGATCCTAAAAGTCATGCTACTGCAGCCTGATGACCTCATGTCAGCCCATCACAAATCTCATTGTGACTGCAGATCACATCCATGTGTCATGACAGTCTCCCACTAAAGGGATCCCGCTACAAACAAACTGGATCAGCGTTGCTGCGAAACTACACACATCAGCCCCGCTGGAGGTGTTTGCTCAGCCGGTACGTCCCCCCCCCCCACCCCACCACCACCTCCACGGATCTCCTCTGTTTACCTGCGGTCATCGTTCACCAACCTGTGGTCCAACTCACCGGCTTTAACGGAGGAAGCCGAGAGGAGGGAGCCCAGCAAGAGCAGCGGCAGCGCCGCCGCAGACAAGCCCGGTTTCGCCATCCTCCTCCTCCTCCTCCTGCTGCTGCTGCTTCTTCTTCTTGCGGGGCTTCACATCCTGCGCGGCCCATTTATCACATCGCATTTACGGCGAGCGAGACGAGCGTCCCCCGGCCGGTGAGGAGGGCGGAGGGGTGGATGGTGGCGGGTCGGGGGAGGAGGAGGATAGGGGGGGACCGGAGGGCGGACTTGTTGTGCCGGAGGCGAGGCTCTCTGGAAGTCGCGAGCTGCAGCAGAAGCGCCAGCAGCGGCGGCGCAACAACAGCCGGAGGAAGAGGAGGAAGAGTAGGAGGAAGAGAAGGAGGAGGAGGAGGAGGAGGAAGAGAAGGAGGGACCGAGATGAAGGTGAAGAGAGAGGGAGGTGGAGAGGAAGCGAGGGAGGAAAGTACCGGTGTGGTGACGGGGATGGCGGCTCGGAGGGGTCAGTCCGAACCGGCTGGTGGGAGACGAGAGGAGAAACGCTCGCGCAAAAACACCTGCGGCGGTGCGCGTGAGGTCACTGAACAGAAGGAAACCGGAAAACAACACACGCACAAATAAATAAAATGAATAAATAATAAATAAAGTAGACACACAAACATGATTGATTATATTTCATTTCATTAAACGAGTTGGCGAATATAGTAAAATATTATAGTAAAAATATAGTAAAATTTCATATGTGCTCTGATGAGGTAAAAATAAGCCTGTTTAAAGCTTACTGTACATCCTTGTATACAGCTCCTTTGTGGTGCAAATTTAAAAAAAACTAGTATGCAGAAGCTTAAGGTTGCTTATAATGACTCTTTGAGAATGTTGATCAAGAAACCCAGGTTCAGCAGTGCAAGTCAAATGTTCTGTAACGCACATGTCAGAACATTTCAGGCCCTTTTGAGAAATCTGATATACAAGTTTATGTGTCGTTTGGGTAACTCACCGAACAATCTTCTTGTAATGTTCTCACAGCCTTCTGTTAGTGCGCTAAGATACCAGTCGGCTTTTTGGAAACATTGGTATACAAGTCTTCTATAAGATTTATATTTATATTTTTTATGACTACTTATTGTATTTTATTTTTCATTTTCTCTTGTTTTTTTATGTCGTGTTGTTGTGTATCTTGTGGACCATGAGTCTGTTGAATAAAGTAAATTCAAATAAATTCATTAAATATTACAGCGGATGAATTACGCTGATTGTTTGACCTTTGAACCTCATCTTTTTTTTTGCAACAAAATCATCAAAAAAGAGCGAAGGGGGATGTTTCTATTTACGTTGTTATTAAAAACGCAAAACTGCTTGAATTATTTTGTTTTTAATTCATGAAAAGATGGACCCGATCAATATCTTCAGGAAATACTTCTGTCCTGGTACATGATTCCTGTAGAAACGGCATCTGGGATTCATTGTTGAACCTGACCAGCTGAATTCAGTTATTGATTCAGTTTATTCAATAACTTATTGATTCAAGGTTATTCAGAGTTGCTTTAGTTGGCAGGTTTAAAATTCTGATTTCAACCTAATCCGAGTTGTAGCTTGAGCAAAACCAATAAAATTATCTGTGAGAAATTATCATTATTATTTTTAAATTGTTTCACAGAAACAATTTTCTTTTTTGTTTCACTGCAACGACTCAGACTCACATTTGAGTTCTTCTGCAAAAGCTCCGATAGATTTGGGTGGAAGCGAACTGCTCCTGGGGCTCAACACTTAAAATAAAGATGAACTTTTGAAGATAAAGGCATGAGCGACATCTTATTGGAAAAAAACCCAAAAAACAACAACAAATAAACAAAATAAAACAAAAACAGGTCCAAAAAAACTCAGATCCAATACTAAGTTGTAATATTTGGTATACATCATTTTTATAACAACTGAAGGTAGCATGATGATTATGCTACAAAATGACACCATGTGCCTGGAAAACACAAAACTCTGCCCCTTTAATAGCTTATAAAAACTTTAAAACTGTTTGTGCCTCCTTTATTTCCTCCTTTCACCTTGTTTTGTTCTACATGCACTATAGAACAAAATAAAAATAGAAACATATTTATAAATCACGTTTCGTTTGGATTCGATTTCATTTCGTTCACCAAAGGACAAGGCGGCAGTCCTCTTTCTTTTTTCTCCATCAAAGTTTCACGTTTTGAGCGCCGCTCTTCTGACTTTTAGCTAAAACAAACCGAAAAAAATAAACAACAACAACAAAAGAAAAAACAAGATGGCAGCAGCTTATTTCCTAAAGTGGTTCCAATTGAAGTGCTGGCAGCGGTCAGAGAGAACGCCCTCCTCGGAGAAGGGAGGAAGAGGGAAGACGAAGAGAAGGAAGACGACGTCCTGACGTCGACTCCCTCCTTCCCAGGACAGATGCCCTGTGCTGAGGGGCCGACCCCCCACCGGGGTCACCAGACAAGAAGGAGACACCGCCGATTCGTTCCAGCTGCACCCTATGGAGTCAAAGTCACTTTCAAAACGACTCTGTTGCTCTGCTTGCTTTGGCAGCAAAATGTGTCCTGGATTCAACTTGCAAACAGATCTGAACTGTGGCGGCCGGCCCCTGATCTCGCTCCTTGTTTTCTGCGGTGAGTTCTAGAAAACGCAAAGTCAAACCCAAACTAAATGTGATTATGGAAATACCCTCCACCCCGGGTCCCTTTGTCCATTTTTAGGGAGGATATTTGCGTCGCTTGCATTCTCCGATCAACTATAAAGGATTTTTGAAAATTTTTTTTTTTTTTGAGAAAAAACATCAAGGCTTAATCCGCCTTGAACGTGTTTGACCTCTGAAGCTCTGAATTTCTCTGAAGGAGTGCATAGAGAGATGAAAAAAGGAGATGACTGAGCAACACTTTATTAAGATGAGCTGAAGACATCATGAAAACTCGCCTTCATTCCAACGTCAAACTCTTTCTTTTCTTTCTTTCGTTTGTCGTTGCTTTAGAAGTGCCCCTTTAACTTGTTACGTCAACATCCAGCTGATTTTGCCAGATGTTGACACAAACATCTGCAAACATCAGCCATAGTTCTGCCACTGATGGACTCAAGTTTTCTCTTGTTCAGGGGTCTCCCAGGGGTCTCCCTGCGGCCCCCGGGGAGCCATTTTTGGCACTTGGACCAATTTTTTTTGAGGCCCCAAACAGCCATTTTAGAATAACATAAAGTAGTTTATTGACCGCTTTACTTTCAAATCATCAAATCATTATTGATCAAATTTTCTTACAACTCAAACTGTTAAGTACGACACAAAGTGCTTTTTTTTTTTACAGCCAAGCTTGTGTATTAAGTAGAACCACGTTTACCCAGAGACTTTTACTGAAAATCCAGCTTTTCTGAAGCTTTTATTTAATTTGTTAAACTTGCCTACATTTTGCAAGCGTTGTGAAAGAAAGCAACTCGAGTCCCGTTCTCGTAACTGAGAATAAATTTGTTCGGAAAGTATTTGAAAAGTGTTTCATTTAAGCGAAACGAAGCTCCATCAGCGAGGAAGAGGAAGCCAAATGCATCAACTCTGTGTTTCCACCTGAAACAAGTGGAGACTTGAGTGTTTTCTTTGAACTTTTGCACAGCAGCGCACTGGAAAATATAAAAACTAAGAATAATAATATTTAAAAGAAAACGTTCTCTGGATTCATCCAGAGGTGATTTTTATGGTCTACGGGTTTTGTGGCGACCATCGCAGGTTCTGGTTGCCACGGCGAATCATTTAAATTTTTTTTTTCCCTTTCGCTTTTATTGTTCCCTTTAACTCTCCGTTGGGTTTTCACATCTGACGCGCTCAAACGGCCGCAGCTGGAAGAGCCACAGCTCATTAACCCAAAACCATTCACTGAAACTCTCTTCTGACCTGCAGTGAAACCTGAAACACGGGGAAAAGAAAAATAATACAAATATATCCAATTCAACAACAGGACGTGGTGCAAGGAGGCAAAGCAAAGACAAAATGGCAGGTTGGCGTATTTGTAAATGCAGTGAAACCGTGTCCGTGCTCACCATCTGCCGCTCACTCCAGCAACTATACCGTCATGGAGGATGTTGGCAGAGGTCAGCAGCAGTTATATAACAACCTCTCCTTGGCGCTCAGTCGCACGCGCACACGTCTCTATATTTGGCAGTAAGGCATGAAAAAGGTAACAGGGCTGCGAAGCCATTACTAATTCACAACTACGGCTTCGTGAGCAACGTGAGGAGCAACATCGGCTGGCGAACGACGCACACCTCTGGAGGAGAAGAAGTACAGGTAGCAGAGCTCAGGTGTAAGTGTTGATAATGATATCTGATGCTGAACATTGACTTGAATGTCAAGTTCTCCCACTTGGGTTTATTAATCTTTGACATCTGTGACAGTCTGCATAAAACTACTGTAACCAGAGCAACAAAACAAACAAATAAATAAAATATGAGGCTGTGAAAAATGTAAATATCGGTATCGGCCATAAACAACTTCCATGTTGAACAATAAGCCATTTGCACATGTCAGCATGTCACAGCTGAGGAAAAATGAACTTCGATGCTAAACATGATATGTCTGAATAGCACACAAAAATTTGCTGTTTGTCATAGTTGAAAAATATAGTAAAAATCTATTACCATATATTTATTTAGTCTGGGGTCACTTGACTGATCAAAATTACCCTTAAGAGTCTTTCAAAGGCTGAATATCCTTATCACTTTACAAAATGTTTTAGGACATTTATTGACTTGAATAAATAGTCACAAGAAGAGCAATGGAGAACTGACACCGCAGGAGGATCTGGCAAGACATGAACTCAGCAAAGAAGTATTTACATGCGAGAGAGGCAATTCTTGACTCCAGAACGAAACAGAACGAAGTGACGCGCTCGACAGAAACTCAAATGTACTGACATTATTGGTTGGATTTTTTTCTTTCTCACATTTTGCAAATTCAATGAAAAAATTATTTTAAAGCCTTAAAGTCCATGGTGTTTATCTGCCAACATAGATAAAATCTGAGATTTTAGATGTGGAACTACTCAAACATGCTTCTCTAGTAGGTGCAAGGAAAAAAAAAAAGTTTAGAAAATGCTATTCGTCAGTTCAAAACGCTGAAGGATTTGTTACATATTTGGATTCATGACTGTTTTGTAAAGAGTTGGGAAACATTCAAGGTAATGGGATCAAATCCGCCGTAATAAGACATGTCCCTCTAAGAACCGTAAAGAAACGTTGCTGATCTCACCCGGGTCGTTCACAGCGCTTGTGATCCTCATTCTGACGCCGTTTGCACCGTCGAGCCACGAGCGGGTCAAAGGTCACAAAGAGAGACCTCACACCAGGTTCGCCTCAACAGAAGAAGTTCACACTTTGACTTTTTACCCAACGACGACAAAGATGGTGACAGAGTGGCTTTTGAAGTGTGAAGGCTGAGATTGAGAGCGGCGCTGAATATCACTC